ATGATCCTGTCCCTCCTCTCAATAGTATCATCTTCACTGGCCAAGGAATATGATCCTGTCCCTCCTCTCAATAGTATCATCTTCACTAGCCAAGGAATATGATCCTGTCCCTCCTCTCAATAGTATCATCTTCACTAGCCAAGGAATATGATCCTGTCCCTCCTCTCAATAGTATCATCTTCATTGGCCAAGGAATATGATCCTGTCCCTCCTCTCAATAGTATCATCTTCACTGGCCAAGGAATATGATCCTGTCCCTCCTCTCAATAGTATCTCAAAAGTATCATCTTCACTAGCCAAGGAATATGATCCTGTCCCTCCTCTCAATAGTATCATCTTCACTAGCCAAGGAATATGATCCTGTCCCTCCTCTCAATAGTATCATCTTCACTAGCCAAGGAATATGATCCTGCCCCTCCTCTTAATAGTATCATCTTCACTAGCCAAGGAATATGATCCTGTCCCTCCTCTCAATAGTATCATCTTCACTAGCCAAGGAATATGATCCTGTCCCTCCTCTCAATAGTATCATCTTCACTAGCCAAGGAATATGATCCTGTCCCTCCTCTCAATAGTATCATCTTCACTAGCCAAGGAATATGATCCTGCCCCTCCTCTCAATAGTATCATCTTCACTAGCCAAGGAATATGATCCTGTCCCTCCTCTCAATAGTATCATCTTCACTAGCCAAGGAATATGATCCTGTCCCTCCTCTCAATAGTATCATCTTCACTAGCCAAGGAATATGATCCTGTCCCTCCTCTCAATAGTATCATCTTCACTAGCCAAGGAATATGATCCTGTCCCTCCTCTCAATAGTATCATCTTCACTGGCCAAGGAATATGATCCTGTCCCTCCTCTCAATAGTATCATCTTCACTAAACAAGGAATATGATCCTGTCCCTCCTCTCAATAGTATCATCTTCACTGGCCAAGGAATATGATCCTGTCCCTCCTCTCAATAGTATCATCTTCACTGGCCAAGGAATATGATCCTGTCCCTCCTCTCAATAGTATCATCTTCACTGGCCAAGGAATATGATCCTGTCCCTCCTCTCAATAGTATCATCTTCACTGGCCAAGGAATATGATCCTGTCCCTCCTCTCAATAGTATCATCTTCACTAGCCAAGGAATATGATCCTGTCCCTCCTCTCAATAGTATCATCTTCACTAGCCAAGGAATATGATCCTGTCCCTCCTCTCAATAGTATCATCTTCACTAGCCAAGGAATATGATCCTGTCCCTCCTCTCAATAGTATCATCTTCACTAGCCAAGGAATATGATCCTGTCCCTCCTCTCAATAGGCTAAAATGTAAAAGTATCATCTTCACTAGCCAAGGAATATGATCCTGTCCCTCCTCTCAATAGTATCATCTTCACTAGCCAAGGAATATGATCCTGTCCCTCCTCTCAATAGGCTAAAATGTAAAAGTATCATCTTCACTAAACAAGGAATATGATCCTGTCCCTCCTCTCAATAGTATCATCTTCACTAGCCAAGGAATATGATCCTGTCCCTCCTCTCAATAGTATCATCTTCACTAGCCAAGGAATATGATCCTGTCCCTCCTCTCAATAGTATCATCTTCACTAGCCAAGGAATATGATCCTGTCCCTCCTCTCAATAGTATCATCTTCACTAGCCAAGGAATATGATCCTGTCCCTCCTCTCAATAGTATCATCTTCACTATTCAAGGAATATGATCCTGTCCCTCCTCTCAATAGGCTAAAATGTAAAAGTATCATCTTCACTAAACAAGGAATATGATCCTGTCCCTCCTCTCAATAGTATCATCTTCACTAGCCAAGGAATATGATCCTGTCCCTCCTCTCAATAGTATCATCTTCACTAGCCAAGGAATATGATCCTGTCCCTCCTCTCAATAGTATCATCTTCACTAAACAAGGAATATGATCCTGCCCCTCCTCTCAATAGTATCATCTTCACTAGCCAAGGAATATGATCCTGTCCCTCCTCTCAATAGTATCATCTTCACTAGCCAAGGAATATGATCCTGTCCCTCCTCTCAATAGTATCATCTTCACTAAACAAGGAATATGATCCTGCCCCTCCTCTCAATAGTATCATCTTCACTAGCCAAGGAATATGATCCTGTCCCTCCTCTCAATAGTATCATCTTCACTAGCCAAGGAATATGATCCTGTCCCTCCTCTCAATAGTATCATCTTCACTAGCCAAGGAATATGATCCTGCCCCTCCTCTCAATAGTATCATCTTCACTAGCCAAGGAATATGTTCTGCCCCTCCTCTCAATAGTATCATCTTCACTAGCCAAGGAATATGATCCTGTCCCTCCTCTCAATAGTATCATCTTCACTAGCCAAGGAATATGATCCTGCCCCTCCTCTCAATAGTATCATCTTCACTAGCCAAGGAATATGATCCTGCCCCTCCTCTCAATAGGCTAAAATGTAAAAGTATCATCTTCACTAGCCAAGGAATATGATCCTGTCCCTCCTCTCAATAGTATCATCTTCACTAGCCAAGGAATATGATCCTGTCCCTCCTCTCAATAGTATCATCTTCACTAGCCAAGGAATATGATCCTGTCCCTCCTCTCAATAGTATCATCTTCACTAGCCAAGGAATATGATCCTGTCCTTCCTCTCAATAGGCTAAAATGTAAAAGTATCATCTTCACTAGCCAAGGAATATGATCCTGTCCCTCCTCTCAATAGTATCATCTTCACTAGCCAAGGAATATGATCCTGTCCCTCCTCTCAATAGGCTAAAATGTAAAAGTATCATCTTCACTAAACAAGGAATATGATCCTGTCCCTCCTCTCAATAGTATCATCTTCACTAGCCAAGGAATATGATCCTGTCCCTCCTCTCAATAGTATCATCTTCACTAGCCAAGGAATATGATCCTGTCCCTCCTCTCAATAGTATCATCTTCACTAGCCAAGGAATATGATCCTGTCCCTCCTCTCAATAGTATCATCTTCACTAGCCAAGGAATATGATCCTGTCCCTCCTCTCAATAGTATCATCTTCACTAGCCAAGGAATATGATCCTGTCCCTCCTCTCAATAGGCTAAAATGTAAAAGTATCATCTTCACTAAACAAGGAATATGATCCTGTCCCTCCTCTCAATAGTATCATCTTCACTAGCCAAGGAATATGATCCTGTCCCTCCTCTCAATAGTATCATCTTCACTAGCCAAGGAATATGATCCTGTCCCTCCTCTCAATAGTATCATCTTCACTAGCCAAGGAATATGATCCTGTCCCTCCTCTCAATAGTATCATCTTCACTAGCCAAGGAATATGATCCTGTCCCTCCTCTCAATAGTATCATCTTCACTAGCCAAGGAATATGATCCTGTCCCTCCTCTCAATAGTATCATCTTCACTAGCCAAGGAATATGATCCTGTCCCTCCTCTCAATAGTATCATCTTCACTAAACAAGGAATATGATCCTGTCCCTCCTCTCAATAGTATCATCTTCACTAGCCAAGGAATATGATCCTGTCCCTCCTCTCAATAGTATCATCTTCACTAGCCAAGGAATATGATCCTGTCCCTCCTCTCAATAGTATCATCTTCACTAGCCAAGGAATATGATCCTGTCCCTCCTCTCAATAGTATCATCTTCACTAGCCAAGGAATATGATCCTGTCCCTCCTCTCAATAGTATCATCTTCACTAGCCAAGGAATATGATCCTGTCCCTCCTCTCAATAGTATCATCTTCACTAAACAAGGAATATGATCCTGTCCCTCCTCTCAATAGTATCATCTTCACTAGCCAAGGAATATGATCCTGTCCCTCCTCTCAATAGTATCATCTTCACTAGCCAAGGAATATGATCCTGTCCCTCCTCTCAATAGTATCATCTTCACTAGCCAAGGAATATGATCCTGTCCCTCCTCTCAATAGTATCATCTTCACTAGCCAAGGAATATGATCCTGTCCCTCCTCTCAATAGTATCATCTTCACTAGCCAAGGAATATGATCCTGTCCCTCCTCTCAATAGTATCATCTTCACTAAACAAGGAATATGATCCTGCCCCTCCTCTCAATAGTATCATCTTCACTAGCCAAGGAAATCTTCACTAGCCAAGGAATATGATCCTGTCCCTCCTCTCAATAGTATCATCTTCACTAGCCAAGGAATATGATCCTGTCCCTCCTCTCAATAGTATCATCTTCACTAGCCAAGGAATATGATCCTGTCCCTCCTCTCAATAGTATCATCTTCACTAGCCAAGGAATATGATCCTGTCCCTCCTCTCAATAGTATCATCTTCACTAGCCAAGGAATATGATCCTGTCCCTCCTCTCAATAGTATCATCTTCACTAAACAAGGAATATGATCCTGCCCCTCCTCTCAATAGTATCATCTTCACTAGCCAAGGAAACCTTCACTAGCCAAGGAATATGATCCTGTCCCTCCTCTCAATAGTATCATCTTCACTAGCCAAGGAATATGATCCTGTCCCTCCTCTCAATAGGAGGCTGGATTGTAACTCTTGGCTAGCAAAGACAAACAAAAATCTGCAGGACAAAGATTTACAAATAGGTCAACATAGCTAAAATTCTGTCGACTCCTTATTGCTCTTAAAAACAACAATGTTTACCCCTTTTTTAAGTTCAATTTGTTTATAAACAATATTTGATAGAGAGAAAGTGAAATAAAGAAATAAAGATCAACAGGACAAGATCTATAAATAAGATAAAATGATTGTTTGTACAGGTCAGAGTTATCTTTCTTTGCACTTGTGTTTATAGTATTTTATGATTGTGTTTTTTAGGGTCTTTATATGAGACAAAGTTATTTTGTTGATGTCACCTTAGACCTTTAATAAAGAATCTACATATCTTTACAACCGAGTGCTTGTTATACTCATGCCTATTTCCACCCGGTTTCATATCAACATCATTGGAGCCTCTAGTTACTACATTGTATCACCATATCATCATGATCATTTTCACGTTTCAGTGACATCTTTTATTTTTTGCAGGAACACATGAACCATTAAGTAACAATGATATAGGTTTCTATTGTAAAACAAATCTGAAATCATGGCATCTCTTCCCGAAGAAGAGGAGAATTATGTCCGATTAGCGTTATTATTGAAAGGAGTGACACCTAGAGCAGTCCGTACTTATTTTGACAGAGAATTTCCACCTACCTCTCTACCCTCAACACTAAGTACAAGCCACAACACTCTTTTGGACTTAAAAGTAAAGAGAATCATAAACCAGGCTCAGTGGAATCTTTTGATTCCAAGAAATGGTAGGTCTTTATGTGACTGTAGAAATTTTGTTAATTAAGATTTCATTAACATGTGGTTCACACATATTTTTTTTTCTGGTGATGGCTACTAAACAAAAAAAATCTTATTTATGAATGAACATCTTCAATACTTTTGTCTCGCCTTGACGAGTCAAAAAGCGAGACATGGGTATGCTGTTTCCGGCGACGGCGTCAACAATGTATTAGTTTGTGATTAGGTCTAGTTTATGGTGAACCACTAGTGCTAGGTCAATGATATTTGGTATACAGTTGTATTAGGATTGGCACATCTCATTACCATGGAGATTATTTGGCCCCTCCCCCTCAGTCATGGTCTATTGACTTCGAAACTTTACTTAGTTTACATGTATTAGTTTGTGATTAGGTCAGTTTATAGGGAACCACTAGTGGTAGGTCAATGATATTTGGTATGCAGTTGTATAAGCATTGGCATATCTCATTTCCATGGAGATTTTAAGCCCCGTACCTTCAGTCATGGTTCATTGACTTTGAATATTTGTATAACTTACATATTAAAGTATTGCTATTTTAATTTCAACATTTGCATTATCAAAATAACAAATAGGCGAGACATATCTCTGTGTTAACAGTTTATTTTGTTAAGTGAAATACTCACTTATTATAAGTCATATGATAACTTATTTTTACAGAAAAAATATGCCTGTAATAACTAAAGGGTGTTATTACAGCTTCTCTACATAACTTCAAAGCCTTTGCTCAGACATATATATATCATGCTTAATCACAATGTATTTTAATTTATTGTAAGAAATAATGATCAGAGCATGTAATGAGGTTCCAAGTAATTCCCAAGTGTCTCATAAAATACATGTAATAAGTTACATGCCTGTAATAACTAAGCCTTGTTAAGTTTCATCACTTGAAATCCTTGTCTCATTGATTTACCATGGTTGATTAAAAATGTTTTAATTTAGTTTGAAAACTAGTTATCAAGGCTATGTATTAAGTTACTGCGCAAAGTTTCAAGAACTCCCAAGTGCCCACCAAAAATGAAAATACTTATGATTATTTAATAAATAACAAACATATGTTACAGATGAAGAAATTTTAGAAACAAAGAGTAGACAACTCAAGAAATTATCTGTAATAACAACATGTATGTTTTTTTCTCTAATAACTTATCTAATTTATACCCTTGACTGTTGTAGTAAAACCCTCATATTACAGACTTTCAATATAAAATGAATGATAAATAAAACAGGTGAGACATTTCAGCATGTGCTCTCTTGTTAAATGTAAACAGAAATGATAAATCGTTGTGTTATTAAATGAAATTAATCTGTTTTTGTTCGTGTTCTTAAAAATAAATTTCTAACATTCGAAAAGATCTGGAAATGTTGTTTATGAAATAATTTTACGGAACGAAAACCTATGTTAATAGCACATGCATATGTCATGTATATAGCACTTCACAATAAATAAAAAAAAGAAGATGTGGTATGATTGCCAATGAGACAACTCTTCACAAGAGACCAAATGACAAAGAAATTAACAACTATAGATCGCGGTACGGCTTTCAACAATGAGCAAAGCCCATACCGCATAGTCAGCTATAAAAGGCCCCGAAATGACAAATGTAAAACAACTCAAACGAGAAAACTAACCTAATTTATGTACAAAAAAATGAACGAAAAACAAATATGTAACACATCAACAAACGACAACCACTGAAATACAGGCTCCTGACTTGGGACAGGCACGTACATACAGAATGTGGGTGGGTTAAACATGTTAGCGGGATCCCAAACCTCCCCCTAACCTGGGACACTGGTGTAATAGTACAACATAAGAACGAACTATAAAAATCAGTTAAAAAAGGCTTAACTCAGCCAATGGATACAAATAGAAATACATCTAACAAAAACAAGTGGATGTGGCCGGGTACTTGTATATTCCAACAACAAAAGGACACTAAGTACAGATCTGAGAGTACTCGCAGTTACTGACAGCTAGTTCAAAGCCAGTAACAACTAATAAGACATCATGTATCTAAGACTTAATTATCAATCATTACGCATCCAACATCCAATGGATCTAGTGTAAAGATGTCATAAACAGTCAGAGAAAAATACGACCTTGTGCAATATTGCCAAGATACAGGTATCGACAGATTGTAGATCCATGAACTACTGATGAATGTGCATATGTATATAACAATAATATTTAGTTTGTTTTTAATTTACTGATAACAAAATCAATATTAATACCAATAAAACAATATTCAAAGATCTAATTACAGAGTTGAATTGGTAACTTAAAGTTTATTTTCCTTTTTGTCATAATTCCATAAGATTTTATTTTGAACCATTTTGGATAAGCTGTTTCATTCTTAAATACTAAACGTTCCCGTCCAAATGATAAAGACTTTAAATAAAAAAATAACAGAAGATTACCACGAACAATTTGAAATTTTCTTGTTTCATAGGTTGTATGAAAATTTTTCATCCATTTAGCATGTTTAGATATCAAAAGTGGGGTTAACTGGCAAAAAAGACGAAACCAATATCTCGTCTTTCACATTGGACGGGTCTGCTTCCCCAGTGGTAAACTGTATTTTTTGTGCAATATGTTTATTTTTCGCTCATCCTGTAATGACCATTTATGTCCTGATTGTAAATGAGCATAATACCCCTCCCCTTTTACGAACTTATATGAGGATGACATGCATTGTATGTTTAAAACATCTGAGAAAAAATGCTTGTCCCCATAACATAAAGAATGATGACAAAAAGGGGAGAGCATAAATATTGTAATAAAGCTGAAGTACACAGTAATTCTATACATATTTATGTCTTATAAAAAAAAATCCTACTGACTGACTCAAATCTTTCACACAAAAATTCTGTAAACAGGCTACAAATTAAAAAACCTTATCCTCTTATACAATGTTATAAATGTAAATGAAATTATTGATTATTTCAAAGATATAATAGTATAAAAAATCTTATAACAGTAATATTTTTGTCAGTATTTTTAAAGTAATATTTTTGTCAATATTTTTAAAGTAATATTTTATCTGTAATTAGTTTTACGTAATATTTAAACTGGTGAATGAAATACTCAAGCATAACACCTTTTAACACTGATTTTAGGACTATAAGTGATACATTTCTGTTGCTTTTGATGTTACAGGGGTTCCGGATTCCAAAACATTTGATGTAACGTTGATGATCTGTTTAATCAGAAACTTGACATCTATCAATCCTGCAATCAATGGATTTGACAGTCTACCACTACCAGGGGAAACAACTCCAGGATCTGATCTAGCCAGGATAAAATGTTACAGGAATAAACTAGCTCATCATGATAGTAATACAATACATACTGCTTATTTCAATACAGCATGGAGAGAGATATCAGATGTAAGTATCTCTACATTGATACTTAGATTTATATTTAACATGTTGGACTATGATCCCATTGTCAATACATAGCTCAAGTAAATTAATATTTGAATTAAGTAATCAATAAACTTTGCTTACCAAGTGAATTAGCCCCAATGGCTCTTGCATCTGAAGGCCTCTTTGGAACTGATGAAGGATGTCGTCAATCCATTACTATAAACTTTTTAAAAAATCTTCTGCTCTGAAACTAGACGAATTGCTACCAAACTGTACCTGAATGTTTCTTAGGGTGTCTTGTTTCTAAATTGTATCTGGGGATTTAATATATTAATAAACCTGGGTGATGTTGCTAAATACAATGAAATATAGAGCAGGTTAAAGGTGGTGAAATGCAGTTTTTGGGATACAATTGCTGTCAAGCAATCTGTAGACTTTTACCATTGACTCCTTTTCAAAGTCTTCCAAGGCCCTCACGTCAACCGTTTTGTGCTTTATATTAAGGAACACCTCAGATTCTTAAGATTGTCTTGTTATTAAAGGTAAAATTAAAAAACAAACAGATTGAATTTAAACAACTTTCCTATAATTTTCATCTCATAATCTTCATGTTTTGAGATCTCCCTTTTTAGCTCACCTGGCCCGAAGGGCCAAGTGAGCTTTTCTCATCACTTGGCGTCCGTCGTCCGTCGTCGTCCGACGTCGTCCGGCGTCGTCCGTCGTCGTCCGTCGTCGGCGTTAACTTTTTACATTTTGAACTTCTTCTAGAGAACCACTGAATGGAATGAAACCAAACATGGCATGAATGTTCCTTATGAGGTGCTGACCAAGTGTTGTTACTTTGTAGCCGATCCATCATCCAAGATGGCCGCCAGCGGGGGACTTAGTTTAACATAGGACCCTATGGGAGATGCATACAAATGACTTCTTTTAGAGAACCACTGAATGGAATAAAACCAAACATGGCATGAATGTTCCTTATGAGGTGCTCACCAAGTGTTGTTACTTTGTAGCCGATCCATCATCCAAGATGGCCGCCAGCGGGGGACTTAGTTTAACATAGGACCCTATGGGAAATGCATACAAATGACTTCTTTTAGAGAACCACTGAATGGAATAAAACCAAACATGGCATGAATGTTCCTTATGAGGTGCTGACCATGTGTTGTTACTTTGTAGCCGATCCATCATCCAAGATGGCCGCCATCGGGGAACTTAGTTTAACATAGGACCCTATGGGAAATACATACTAGCCTTTGTTAGTCTTGTATTATTTTTAATTTTAGTTTCTTGTGTACAATTTGGAGTTTAGTATGGCGTTCATTATCACTGGACTAGTATATATATTTGTTTAGGGGCCAGCTGAAGGACGCCTCCGGGTGCGGGAGTTTCTCGCTGCGTTGAAGACCTGTTGGTGGCCTTCTGCTGTTGTCTGTTCTGTGGTCGGGTTGTTGTCTCTTTGACACATTCCCCATTTCCATTCTCAATTTTAAATGTCTTCTTTTAGAGAACCACTGAATGGAATGAAACCAAACATGGCATGAATGTTCCTTATGAGGTGCTGACCAAGTGTTGTTACTTTGTAGCCGATCCATCATCCAAGATGGCCGCCAGCGGGGGACTTAGTTTAACATAGGACCCTATGGGAAATACATAAAAATGTCTTCTTTTAGAGAACCACTGAATGGAATGAAACCAAACATGGCATGAATCTTCCTTATGAGATGCTGACCAAGTGTTGTTACTTTGTAGCCGATCCATCATCCAAGATGGCCCCCAGCGGGGGACTTAGTTTTACATAGGACCCTTTGGGAAAAACATAAAAATGTCTTCTTTTAGAGAACCAATAAATGGAATGGAACCAAACATGGCATGAATGTTCGTTATGAGATGTTGACCAAGTGTTGTTACTTTGCAGCCGATCCATCATCCAAGATGGCCGACAGCGGGGGACTTAGTTTAACATAGGACCCTATGGGAAATACATACAATTGTCTTCTTTTAGAGAACCACTGAATGGAATTGAACCAAACATGGCATGAATGTTCCTTATGAGTTGCTGACCAAGTGTTGTTACTTTGCAGTCGATCCATCATCCAAGATGGCCGCTAGGGGGGGGGGGGGGGGGGGGGGGGGGGGGCTTAGTTTAACATAGGACCCTATGGGAAATACATACAAATGTCTTCTTTTAGAGTACCACTGAATGGAATGAAACCAAACATGGCATGAATGTTCCTTATGAAGTGCTGACCAAGTGTTGCTACTTTGTTGCCGATTTACTGTTCAAGATGGCCACCAGGATATTTTATTAAATAACGGGACCAATATTAATCAAAATTTGGCCTCAATCATTATTTGGGTATCTGTTATGATTTTTATCTATCTTTACATGATTTCTAAAACCAAAGTAGAGTCAGGTGAGCGACACAGGCTCTTGAGAGCCTCTAGTTTTATATGCGTCTATTTTTCAATACGGAAAATCAGAATTAAGCAGTATTTATATTTAGGGTTTTATATATTTAGAAACACGTCAAAGAGGGAATTCCGCAGTTATGTTAAAATGCGAGTTCATCATCATCAGAGTTGTTCTGATAAAACTATTTCTGTCAGATAAGTACTGAAGTGGAGTTTTTCTTATATGTTACCATGGTTACCGTTATGAAACTGAAACTTTGATATTGAACTTCCATAAAGAAATGGAGAACCATCTAGGAGGTTTAACTAACATATAATATACGTCCTTGCTACAATTGACCTAAATCAAATCATAATTCTAATGGTTTGTTTAGGTAATTATGCGCATGCGTATAGTTTTCTTGACCTCCAGGGGTATCTGACTAAATGGTTGATCTGGTTTCCCCATTCCATTGATTAATTTGAAACTCAAGAGATCCTTTCTGTGTCTATCTGCTATTTAGGGTTATTGTTGTTGCATGATTTTAAATCATGTGCAACATTTAAATAAAAAAATGTAGTCAACAATGTAAAGGTAGAACTAAAACACCCCTTCAGCCGAAATGGAGTCTTCCATATTATCAACGTTAAGAAACTTGTTGCTCATCATTGATCAAAGATTTTTAAAAAAGTAAAATTTCTTTAGCATGTTGTTATATTTAAGTAACTTTCATATGTGTTTATTTGCTATTATTCCTGTTTTGTTAAAATTTTAAGTAGATCAATAATGAACTTGGTCATTTATAGATTGTGAACAGCACGAGTTTATTTATACTTTATACTGTTATGGGTAACTCTCGTACCTTATAGTGTTGTTCATTAACATTCGGACATTTAATGCAGGGAACCAGATTTAGAGTTGTCGCCCATACAATACTTCGGTCAATTAAGAATCAAAATACGACGACACGACGAGTAAAATTGATCCGTTCTGTCGATAGACGTCGAATTATATTAAAAGCGATGGCAATTTAAACAGAAGAATGTGTACGGAAAGGAGTCATGCCCACTGACCTAAAGGAAATTAAATATTTAATGAATTAGAATTGGGATTCCTCCTAGAATTCACGTAGGAAAATTATAGATGATAAGGTACGAAGTGAGATACCTTCTCTCTATATAATATATCAGTGACCGCTGTGGATAGTAAACTTGGAATTGATAGTACAAAACTAAAACACAATAATTACATTGTTCATACACTTGTATCAAAGATTGGCTATTTTCTAAAGTTGAAAAACTAATCAAATAGAGAATACATGTGCAGTTGAATTATTTTCGAGAATAATACTAATATCAATGAAAACAATAGCAATCGTGTCCCTCAGAGGAATCATACTCTTTTATTGTATTTTTATATCTAAAAAAAATAAGTTGTCATGGTAGGTGATACAAAACTGACAAAGCAAAAATTATAAGCAAGTTAAGGTCTATCTAATGTTAGATTTTCTGATAAATCTGAAGATCCATTATACATGTTATAGGAGTTATTGTCACTGAAATTTCAATTTTTAGAACATTTCAGAGATTTCATACGACTGCAAAAATTTGTGGCCATAGAATCGGTGATAATGGTTTGGCGATGTCGTTTTCATCTGCAGACATTTGGTTTCCAGACAATAATTGAGTATAAATGAATCGATCTCTATAAATTGTACCACAAGCTTTAATTCTATACCTCAAAAGCATGTTTGGAATTGATTTTAGGGGTTATTAACTTAACCGTTTAGAAATTAGGGGCCAAAAACAAGCATTTTTCTTGTTTCAGGACATTATAACTTGATGAGTATAAGTCTTATTGGATCTCTATAAAATTGTACCACAAGGTTCCATACCAACACGAAGGTTGGGATATATTTTAGGGGTTATTGTCCTTACCGTTTTGATAGGAATTAGGGGTTAAATACTATCTAATATTTTGTGTAAATTATTTTTTTGACCAATTTAAATGGGGTTTAATTTAACTTCTTGAATTCTTCGTGTTCTTTAATATGCTGAATCTAATTGGGTATTTAGATTTTGGATTTTGGGCCCTGTTTTTAAGTTAGTCTACGTTGATGTTCAAAGGGTCTGAAATTAAACTGTGTTTGATTTCATCAAAATTTTAGTCAATGTGTTTCTTTGATCATGTTGATCATGTTGATATGCCTAATACATGTAATATAACTGTGTATTAATTTTTTTTTTAATATTGGGCCCCGTTCTCAAATTGGCCCACATTAAGGTCCAAAAGATCAAAAATTAAAATTTGTTTGATTTCACCAAAAGTTGAATTATTGGGGGTTCTCTGATATGCCGAATCTAACCGTGTATTAAGATTTTGGGACTGGTTTTTGTTCTCCGTATAAAGCGCTGATGGGGACATTGGAATACCGTCCTGAGTACGTCCGGTCTTGTTAGCTCTCTCACATGTACAAATCTGGACAGATGTTTATTAAACTTATATCATAGGTTTATATTAGCAATGTCTTGAATGAGTTCGAAAATCAGTGCCAATCAATTATTAAAGGCAGTGCTTTAATGCCTTTCTAGTTGCCGGGTTAATCCTTCCTTCCGCGATATCCAAC